ATTTTTCTTTTGTAATTTTTATGTTATTTATGTTGAAAGTGTGTATTTTTGTCATATTATAATTTTACTAAAAGATTATAAGTTAATTCCTAACTAGGAGGCTCTGCCACCTTTACTGGGATTAATCTATAATCTTTATTTTATTATTTCTTGACAATTTGATACTTACAGTTGAAAATTATGAATGTGCATCTTTTACCCAATGATACTTGAGATAATTATTTTATATTAGACTAAGAAAGAATTTATATATAGATGGTTTATATCTATTGTAATTATGTTGGGGTAGAGGGTGTCACAGAAACCGTTGCGAATCAAACTAAATCACACTTATTTATAAATATTATTTTTAAACTCATAGTGCATGTATACATAATATTTTTTTTATAACATTATAAGTTACTGAAAGGTGTTTCTCTCTCCAAATATATGGTATAGTATTTAAAAGATATTTTATAAAATTATAAGTTACTGAACTGAATTTTAGAATGAAATTTTATGATTTATTTATAAAGTTCAAAAATAATTTTTTAAAGTGACAAACTATATATATGAAAAAAATATTTAATATGATAATAAAAATTGTACTAATAAAGAAATATTTTCACTTAAATAATAAGATAAAAAATAGTATTAAATACATTAAATGATCAAAATATTTTAGTATTTGTATACTTGTAATTTTACTTTTTTATGTAATGTCTTAAATAAATAATAAAATATTTTATATTTTTAAATAATAAATTTTAAAATCGTAAAAATTGAACTAAACCAATTCAAATCGCAAGGTTGGTTTGATTTGATTTGAATTTTATAATTATTTGTCAATTTGAATTAATAAAACGAAGTATTAAATGATTTAAAAAAATTTAAAGAATTTCATATTTGATTTATGCATTAAGAACTTTAAATTCAACAGTTGAATCGTTAAAATTTGATGTAGAACATGAGTTATTGAACGATGTAAGTTTAGGTAGATCAATAATTCATTCAATAATTCATATTTTATATCAAATTTTAGCTATTTATATGTGTGTATCATGTTCCTTCCTCAATCCGGTATATTTTAGTAGTATGATTTTTGTCGCTAACATTGATTTCATTGAGTGTAGGAATAATGACAGATTGTTATAATTATTGTTGATATAAATTATATTTAATTTTTGTTGTTAAAAATTATTAAAAAAAATTATAAATTATCAATATTTTCATTGTAGCTACATTTTTTTAAAAAATCAAACTAATGTGATTGCTAATTTACAATTTCTAATTTTATAAACTAGTATGATGTGATCCTTCAGATGAGACCAAAATAAAAGTTTATTCAAATTAAAATATTTTAATTGGATGTTCAATTAAAGATCGTTAAAAAATATGAGGAACATAGTTTGCAGCAATTGTTCAAAATAAAAGTAACTAGTATTTTAATATTTACAGTATATGAAATAATTATTTTAAAATAATAAAATTTTATGATAAATAAATATATTTATTATATAAATTATATTTTAAATTTTTGATAAAGAATTTTATATTAAAATATTTTTTAAACATTTTAATTTAATTTAAAATAAAATAATAATTTTTCATAAATAAGAATTTGAGAAAAAAATTAAAAGCGCTATAATTGAAGAAAAATTCATTCTATATATTAAATGCAAATGACTATTAGGTGATAGCATTTTTAGAAGACATTATTTGATTAGAGAGTTTTTAATTTTTTTTAAACCTGTTATTTAATTAATTTCATTTATTTATCACATGTATTTATGAATTAAATTTTAGTATCTTTGAAATAAATTATTAATATTTTAAAATAATTTTATATTATAATATAAATTATTTAATTTAAAATATAATTTTTTATTCATTGAAATTACAATGATAAGACAAGATTAAAATTTAAGATTCTTATGCACTTTACCCCAACTCACAACATTAGGTTGATTATAGTGATATTTTTATGTTTAAAAATACATATTGATTTAGATATAAGTTTGGTTTAAATATGTTTATATTCCTTACAAAATTAACAAGTTTTAATTTTAGTTTTAGATTTTGTAATTTTTTTTTCATTCCTTTAAAATTTCAAATTATTATTTTTAATAATTTTTATTATGTAATTATTTGTAACTATTTATTAGTTTAAGGTTTATTGATTATCTCAAATATTACTCACAATGTGATATTATGTTAGTGTATTATACATCTAAATTTTTTTTATAAATTTTTAAAATAAATATTATTTATTTATCTTAAAATCATGTTTAGGATTCAAAATTTATGATTTTAAATTTTAAAAGATGAAAATCAAAGGGATCAAAACTAAATTTTTTATTCATTTTATAAGAAATAAAAATATTTTATAAAGATAAAAAATAACGTTAACGAATTTTTTAAGGATTTTTTTTTCATTATCAAACTTAAAACTCACTTATTTTACAAGTATTAACAACATATTTAAACATATATTAAATATAATATTTATTTGTATATATAATGTATTATAAATTTTAATTATATATAATAAAATTATATATTAAAATACTAGTATCTAAAAATGCTCTTATTTTTCTAAAAAAATAGTTTTTATTATTTCGTTAAATAAGTGTTTTTATTAAAGACTGGTCGTTCAAAATATTATCAATAATTAAATGTAGTTAATTATTTCAATCAATTATAACCTGTATATAATTAGTAATTACTGACCATTAATTGCTCACTTTAATATGCAACTTGTTAATTAATTATTCTAAATATCAAATGAATAAGTTATGTTTAATAATATATTTAAAAATTGCATATTTACAAATATTTGTAAATACATTTAAAATAGAATGAAAAGTATTTATTTTAAAAATTATTTAAAATTTTATTCTATTGATAATGAAAATATGAATTAATATATATTCATTTAAAACTTTTAGTTTTAAAAATTAATTTTAATTGATGAAAAAGTTAATTATGATTTTAATATATACTTATATATACGTTTACTGATAATTATTAATTTTTGAGTATTAAAGAAAAAATTTAAAAATAAAAATATCTGACTGATTAGTAAATCAAAATGTACTATTTTGCATTTTGATTGATTTTAAAATTTCTTATTGAAAAATCAATTAAAAATCTCAAAACAAGAGATGTAATTAAGGATCGCAATGGGGCCCGTGGGGCGGGAAATAGTAAACCCGTCCCTATCTCACTGAATGAAAATTGGTTTCATACTCATCTCATATTCGCGCGGGTATCTATTAAGCGGGTATCCATGAATTTCTTAAATACTCACGGATATTCATAGATATTTATAAAATTTATAAGAAATTAAAAAAATTATATTACAAATAATTTTAAGTTTATATTTTAATGTCATTGAAATATTAAAAATAAAAATTCAATGTTAATTTTGAACTTGTATTTAACGTTAATTTTGTTGAAATAATAATAAAAATGAAGATAATCAATAACTTAAAATACATCAATCTCACAAGTAAATTAAAGTCTCATCATAAAGCTACAAAAATTCAATCTCAGAATTTCAAATGAAAGTAAACAGCTTAAAATACATAAATCTTATTGGTCCAATCAAAGCTAGAAAACTAATCAAATTACATCCAACATAATTTAATAACATGTTTAACACATGTCGGTAACTTCATCAACCTCACTTTTATAAGAAAATAAGATGAGAGAGTGTAGTTGTAGGATTATGTGGTACAAGAATAATTAAGATATTTAAGAAATAATATTAAATGGGTATCCGTGAGTATGAATATCATCATATCTGCCCTCGCCTCATTTATAAACAGGTAAAAAATTATCCGTCCTTATTATCTGTGGGTACTCAATTAGCCTATTTATTTATTATCCGTAGTAAATTTTATCCCCAGATACATGCGGGTGCGGGTACTTTTGCTAGATGTAATTTATAACGAATTGATCATACCCAAATTAAAGATAATATATATGATAATTTATTTTTTATGCAATTAAGACAATTAAATGCGAAAAATATTTGAAAACGATCAGATAAACGAAAAATGATAATTGATTGAAAATGTAAAGTCATCGAAAATTAAAAATAATTAAATTTCATTATTGAAATTTAATTAGTATTTTCTGAACCGAATCTAAAATATGATTTGCAATTTTATATATAAAAAATGTATGAAAAAAGTATTTAGAAGGGCATTTTGTTTAAAATGAATAGTAATAAAATCCCCCACGATGCCTTCAATTCAAATCACAACGTCTCAGCTAACAAACTTTGTAGCTTATAAACGAGGTAGGACCAAACGACATCGTATAGTGGAATCATCATGATAGATACGTTGACCGTATAAGGCTACGGCAAAGACGTAGACGGTACACGTCTTGCGTATCTGTATTTGTATTATCACTGTGTTCGTCCTTTTCTCAGCAAAATCTCTGAAACACCGAAACTCTCTCTTCCTCTCTCTCTCTCTTCTGTACTTTCCTCGTGTTCTCACTCTCTCTCTCTCTTACACTTCGCGAACTCACTTCCATCACTCCAACAACACACAGATTCTATCTCTCTTTTTTTTCTCTCTCTCTCTCTCTCTGTTTGCGCCATTCATTCTCGCGCAAGGGAAGTGAGTGAGTAAGTAACTCTCTTGTGTGTTGTGTTGTATCTAAATGGCCGAGACTCGCCGGAGACGATGAAGTTTTCCGGCAACGGGAGTTTTCCGGCGGACATTGCTTCCAAGGCCGCTGTGAACCCTTCGCCGGACTCAGATCTTCAACCGGTGAAGCCCTTTCAGCGGCGGAAACCGAGAACTCCGGGGACCCGGTTGAGGAGACACGGAGGCAAACGGAGCAGACCGGAGACTCCTCTGTTGAAATGGAAGATCCATGAAGATCCACTCGAAGAGGACCAGAAGTCCTCTGTCGCTGGGTCCCGCCGGAAAACGTGCCGGAGCGCTAAGAAGCAAACGGAGGCCGCCGTGTCGGCACGGAGACTCGCAGCCGGGCTGTGGCGGTTGCATCTGCCGGAGACGGCAACCGGTGATGGCCGGAAGGGGTTGGAACATAAGGTAACAGCTTCAGTTGCTTTTAAACTTTGAGTTTGGACCTAATTCAACCACAAAAATTAGTCCTTGAAAAAGAGAGTTGTTGCTCATTTATATACACTGTTTCGGTCATGTATCTGGCCAATGTGGGATCTCCAACGTTTACCCTTTTTTCTTTTTACTCTCTTGTTTGAGATCCTTTGTTTTTCTTCGTTTTCGTTTGGGCGTTGTTGCATCTTGCATGTGTTTGCGATTTCTAATTTAAATGCGATTTTGTAGCTATATGCTTCTAGGTTACTTTCTCTACTGTATTGTAGGCCATCCCTCGTGGAGAAAAAAGAATTATAGTTTATTGTTGGGGTTTATTTCTGTGTGCTGATTTTGAATCGTGGGTTTTCAGATTTTATCCTTATTTCCTTATCATTATCATGCAGTTTCCGGTTTTGGTGTTGAGAGTTATGGATTAGCCTTTCTGTGAAAGCAAAAAAAACTGTCTTTTGAAGCTTTTAATGTTTTTGTTTTTTAGTCTGCTCGTGAGTGATGTAGTTCTGGCGGAAACCTAATTATTAGTTATTGTCATGATTGGAGAAATGGGTTGAGTAATGAGTAGGGTTTGTCTGTATAAGTAGTTGTTGATTTTCTACGCGTTCGTTTTAGATTTCTTCGCTGAACGCAAACACATGTTCAGAGGTAGGAAGAATCAGTTTCTTGCATTAAGTATTGTTTTATGCTTGTTAAGTAAGTTGGGACTTTAGTTGGGTCTTCCTTATATATGAGATTCTGTTCTTATCTGTGCATTCCAGTGGCATTAGAGAATTGGTTAATCTTCCATGCGCTTTGATTTTGTCATCATTCGTTGATCACGGTAGTTAGTTTACAACATTAATTTGATAGGTTTCCATTTTTTACTTATTACTGATTGTGATGTCTCTTATCTACAGCATGGAAATGGTCACGTTGGCCTCCAGTTCCTGGGTCATCCAAATGGCATGACCCATGATTCTGATACGAAGAAGAATCTATCTCAAAGTCCCCGTTCCATATTTCGGACAAAGAATGGACACTTCTGTGAGGTATGATTTTTCTTATTACTTCGGTATAATGTAACCATTTGAAGTTTTACATTTCTTCAGTCTTTGTAATTGAAGATTATTGAGTGAAAGTCATATAGTTATAACTGCATCACGTTCTGCATGATGATCTCATTGCTGGTGACATTAATCATTACAGTGACTAACTATAACCATAGCAATGAATTGTTTATGATTTCATATTGTGGAATTCTTTAGTCATGTATCAAAGTGCTGCTCTTGCAAACACACATGCATCATGTAGGTTGACATCACCCCCATGGGATGCCCAACTTAAACTTTGAAACTAATAAATAGAAATGTTATAGAAAAATGGTTTATTGGACAGTACCTTGGGAATTAACTAATAATACTGATCATTGCATTGATCCATGCTATTGCTATGTATAAAAATATAGAGCTGTATACAAATAGCTTGGACACAACATTTTTCATGTAAATCTACATTAAAATTAGCTTTTACAATGTCTGGATGAGCAAATAGTTTTAAAAAATGTTCTGTTTTTACTCACCAAAAGTAAAAGAGCAAGCAATTGAAGTGCTAATTTTGAACCTACTTTATGCTATTCAGCCTGAACCTTTCAAGTATCCCAACACTGAAATGGAGGGTGCAACAAAATGGGATCCTTTATGTTCAAAAACATCTGATGAGGCGCAGCATATCTACAGCCACCTGAAACTTCTTGACCAAAAGGCAAGTGCTGTATCTGTTGTATCTGCTCTCGGAGCTGAACTAGAGCAGGCTCGAGCACGAATTCAGGAGCTTGAGTCCGAACATCACTCCTCCAAAAAGAAGCTTGAGCATTTCCTGAAGAAAGTCGGTGAGGAGAGGGCTCAATGGAGAACTAGAGAGCATGAGAAAATCCGTGCTTACATTGATGACATTAAAGCAGAGTTGAATCGAGAAAGGAAAAATCGGCAGAGGATTGAAGTTGTCAATTCGAGGTTGGTAAATGAGTTGGCAGATGCCAAACTCTCTGCAAAGCGCTACATGCAGGATTATGAGAAGGAAAGGAAGGCCAGAGGATTGATTGAGGAAGTGTGTGATGAGCTTGCCAGGGAAATTGGAGAAGACAAGGCTGAAGTTGAGGCAATGAAGAGGGAATCTATGAAACTCAGGGAAGAAGTGGATGAAGAGAGGAAGATGTTACAACTGGCAGAAGTATGGCGTGAAGAACGTGTTCAGATGAAGTTGATAGATGCAAAAGTTGCTCTTGAAGAGAAGTATTCGCAGATGAATAAACTTGTTATAGATTTGGAAAGTTTTATAAGGTCAAAAAGTGCAGAACCAAACACAATGGAGATGAGAGAGGCGCAGTTACTTCAACAGGCTGCAGCTGCAATGAACATTCAAGACATCAAGGGATTTTCATATGAACCCCCAAATTCCAACGACATTTTTGCCATTTTTGAAGATGCAAATTTTGGTGAAGCAAATGAGAGGGAGATTGAACCATGTGTTTCTCACAGTCCAGCTAGTCATGCCTCGAATATTCACATGGTGAGTCCTGAAGCCAATGTAATGACCAAGAACGGCATTCAGAGGAGCTCTGATGTATTTATGGATGACAACGGGGATATAGAAGGAGATGAAAGTGGATGGGAAACTGTGAGCCATGTTGAGGATCAAGGCTCAAGTTATTCACCAGAAGGGAGTGCACAATCCTTGAACAGGAATCATAGAGAGAGTAATGTCTCAGGGAGAAGTGTACTTGAATGGGAAGAAACTGGAGGTGAGGAGACACCAATAACTGAAATTAGTGAAGTGTGCTCTATACCAACTAAGCAATCAAAGAAGGTATCATCCATAACTAGGCTTTGGAGGTCACACCCAAATAATGGTGATAATTACAAGATAATCTCTGTGGAGGGAATGGATGGTAGACTTTCAAATGGAAGGTTGTCTAATGGGGTGATCAACATGTCTCCTGATCATGGATCAGGTAAAGGGGGGCTGAGCCCCCAAGACCTTCTATACCAGTTGAGTCCTGAGTCAGGAACTCCGCATGCCGCACATCGAGGTAAGAAAGGATGCATTCCTCGAACCGTGCAGAAGAATAGTTTGAAAGCCAGACTCTTGGAGGCTAGAATGGAAAGCCAGAAGGTTCAGTTGCGCCATGTTCTTAAGCAGAAGATTTAGTCATGAGCATAGATAGGCATAGCACAGATTGCATGCACACCTGTATAATTCATAAATGAGTAGTGAGAAGCAGTTTATTTTAGATTGTCAAGGTACATATATGCTGCTAATGCAAAATCTGCTCAAGTGATGAGGGGCTATGAATATATATGTGCACATTTTCTGCCTCATACCGGTTCTTATTTCAGTTCTTCATTATCATTCGTATTAAGCGTTAAGCAGAAAATCTTTTCATTCCGTTGTACCGAGTACTTAAAACCCTGGGATACCTTGGGAAATAGCTCGCTTTGTAATCTTTCATTTGGTGGGGTTTTGGGAAAATTATGAGAAGCATGTTGCTGGTTTTTGTACTTGTATCAATTCTAGTGAGGGGATAAATGTGAAAGGTAAAATGATGGTCATAAAGTATAGATGATGGCTCTATCTACTCCAGATTTTGATTTTCTATCATTGAGGATGTCCCCGTAGGATTCGTTGTAGGTTGTATTTTAGGTGACAATGATGATTTTTGATTCCGGGACAGAAAAATATAACCTCATACTTATTCTGGGACCTATTCCTCTTTCTGTTCGTCTCCTTTATTGTTCATTTTGATAAATAGTGTTGCTTAATCATCTAGTGAAAATTATTGAAATAGAGATTATTAGCGTTTTGCCTGATTAAAATTATTGATATAAGTTCTGGCATGAGAGGAAGAAGCTTGAGGTGATGATTGACTACATGGCAATCTAATCCGTTCTCTTGGGTACCTGTCCGAATTTGTCCCAATTTGGACGGGAAAAACCTGTGTTTATCAGGTTTGAATTTTTCCCGATTGATAAAATCGGAGGCGGGGGCGGGGACGAGGATGTTAATATCTGCCCTGTTCTCGACATCGTACCCGTCCCCACCCTGCATAATAATATAATTAAAAATTATTTATATATATATATATATATAAATTAGAAATATTTATATATAAAAATTTATATTATTTTATTTTTCTTTTATTTTTTTTAAATTTGTTCATATTTATTTTAAAAAAAAATAAAGGTAGGGCGGGGAAATTTAAATCCTGCCAGCCCGTTGCCATGCCTAGACTTGAGGAATGTTTTGACAATTTTTTTATCAAGGGGAGTGTATTGAGGAATGTCACTTAAAAACAATTCAGTGATATTCAATAAGGATTTTCAGGATTATTTTAAGAATCCAATAAAATTCATTGGTATTCCTTTGAGATTTTTTACAACTTAAAAATAATTCATTGGTATTCAAAAATATAAGGATTTTAAAGGATTGTTGTGTGAGACGGATTTTGAAGGACTTTTTAGTGTTATCTATAAATACCAAATTCATAAAACAATATCATTCAAACCCATCGGATTTTGAAGGATTGTTTGAAGTGATTTTTCAAGTGCTTCAAGAATTTTCAAGTGAGTTTTTCATCTTTTTTTTTTCTATGCTTCTCTCTTCTCCATTTTTTCTTTGCTAATAATATTGCACTATTGTTCATTGCTCATATATAATATTGTAGTTCTATTCTCATTTCATTCCCCTATTTTGTGAAACTCCAATATGTAAATGATAGTATCATTGACTTGCTCTATTTTTCTGTTCGTTCTCTTTAATTGACTGTTCTATTTTATTCTATTTAGTTGAATTTGTTCTTTTATATAACACAAAAAAATACTAGAAATTTTAACTTTTAAGTGATAATTTTTTTTATAATACACGTCAAGAAAAGGAAAATGTGAAAGATGAAATTGATATCATGATCTTGACAATATATATATATATATATAAGATGAATTTGAGATAGAGTTTTTGTGAGTAGAATGAGATGAAAATGGATCTTAGTTGGGGGAAGAACCCTCTCAGGATAAAAACTACGATCTCTCTCCTTCCTTGTTACTCTTATCTCTCCTCCTTTTATGACTCAACAATTATTACTTTTTTTTACTATGAATTTTTTTATTATTTTTATATTGTAAAATTAAGATTTTTTATATTTAAAAAAAAATTAACATAAGATATTGTAGTATCTAATTTTTTAGGGTTTACGGTTTATGCCTTCATTAGTTTATTTTTTATGGACTTAAAGTGGTTCAAGGTAAATGTTTATTCTTTAAATAATAATAATAATTATAATTATAATTATAATTTATTATTATTATTATTATTATTATACTAATATTATATATATTGCATATGTAATTAGGTAAATATTTTTTGGTGGATTGTGGATTTCCTAATCGACGCCAATTTTTAGCTCCATTTCGAGGTGTAAGATATCATCTACAAGATTTTGCAGGTCAGGGTAATGACCCTGAAAATGAGAAAAAATTGTTCAATCTTCGTCATGCGTCTTTAAGGAATGTGATCGAGAGAATATTTGGTATTTTTAAATCAAGATTCACAATTTTTAAGTCAGCACCTCCATTTTTATTTAAGACAGAAGTAGAACTTGTACTAGTATGTGCAGCACTACATAACTTTCTACGTAAGAATGTCGTTCTGATGAATTTTCAATTGAAGCGGTGGATGAACCTTCATCTTCAACATTACCAATTAATGAAGATCACACTTTTGAGCCTATTATTCAAACCCAGGAGCAAGAGCGAGAAGACGCTAATGCTTTGAGGACTAGTATAGCCATGGATATGTGGGTGAATGTTATTTAATATGATAGGCTATTATGGAGAATTATTATTATTATTATTATTATTATTATTATTTATCTAGACATTGTTATTATTTTTTTTATTTTTTTTGTTTTTGACTCTTTCTAAATTTGAATATGAATATTTTTTTGAAATTTTATCAAATGTCAAAAATCTATGAAAATTCTACAAAATTCACAAAATCCCACAGAATCCATTAAAATCCTGATTTAAAATTCTGTCAGAATCTATTAAAATCCTGATTTTAAGTCTTGTAGAATCCTGTAAAATCTTAAAAGTCATGAAAATCCTGCAAAGTCTTTTAAAATTGGCAGGATTTTTTTTAATTAAAAAAGTCTTTTAAAATCCTAATCCAATACACCTTTGTAAGTAACACGAGAATAAAAACTCCCTATCTTTAGCATAAACTAATAAAAATATTTTGTGGATGTTAATTTGTGAATAAATGAGAATGGAACCATTTCACCTTTTTAGTTTTTACGTGATAATAAATCTTCTTCATGATAACTGATCGTAAATTTTTTTTTCCATGGTAATTGTAATTGATGGTAAATATTATTTTTGGGAAGGCTGAATATTAACTTTAACGAATACTTCGGTGATTTGAACATAATTTATAATTTTGTTATTTGTGCATCAAATATTAGATAAAATTAAAATTTATTATAGTTTATCTTAAGTTGGTTTCACATAGTATTTTTTTGGTTTGTCCCTGGAGTATCCACCACCGACAGCAATGACTAATTTCCTCGTTACATTTGAGGCACCTCAAAAAGTGGGATAGCTAGTCCCAAGATTTAACGCGGCTACATACACAAGACAGGATTCGAACCTAACATATGTGAATCACTAAATAAATAAATAAATAAAAAGTAAGTGTGTTAGGAGTTAGGAGAGAAAAGAAAGAGATGAGATGAGATAGGAGATAGGTGTGGAGAGAATCTTCCCCGTCACACTTGATCTCATTCTCCACCCGCCAACCGGAATTTCAATTCCCTCCATTTTTCCCAAATTCAAATTTCCTAACCCTTATATACCTCCCAACTCAAATCCCTTTTTCTCTCTCTCTCTCTTCAATGGCGAACTCCGAATTACCCTCATTTTCCCTAGGTCTCGACACTCCCCCGAATTCCCCAATCAATCCACCTCCGTCTCCCTCCCTACACGTCTCCGACTCCGATTCCGATTCCGATCCCGAATTCCGACCCGACCCGCCTCGCTCTATTCTCAAACGCCTCCGCCGCGGTCCCCCGCCTCCGCCGCCCTCCTTCCTCGGCGCTGACGACGACGACATCGAGGACTTCTCCTCGCAGGAAGATCCCCATCAAGGTAAGGTTAGCCTAAACATCTTTTATCTCTCTCTTCTCTGCATCTCAAACAATAATAATATTTTCTCTATTTTGCTTCTTAATCGCTTTTTTACATTTTTCTGTTGTGATATTATCAGTGCATGCACCGGCGTGGAATCGTTCCGTGTGCAGTACCTCCAAAGTGTCCTTGAATGGTTGCGGGGCTTTGAGTTCAACCCCTCGCGACTCTAGGGAGAGAAAAAGAAAGGAACCTTCCGATGACGTTCCGTGTTCTTCTAGGTTAGAGACTGGGAAGAGTGGCTTGATGTTTCCCAAGCTAACCGCTAGTCCTCTCCGAAGGTTTCAATTGCTCGATTCCGATTCTGATGATTCAGATCTTGATGTTGGAGTTGGTGGTGCTGATGGGGTTAGCCCTAACAATCATTTACAACAAAGTAAGAAAACATCTTTTGCTGTGGACGGAGACCAGGATCTGTGGAAGGATTTTTCACCGATGAACAATGTTTCTGTGCCCACGCCGGTGTTCAATGAGTTGTGTGATGAGTACTTCAGTTCTGCCAAGTGCAAGGAAGTGGAGGGTGACGTGAGGTATCCTGGGGTTACTTCTAGCTGCCAGATGGATCAGCAACAATGGGAATCGACCGACCCTGTTCATCCGGCTCATCGTTATTTTTTCCATGAGGATGCGAGAATTCGGCAGTTAGTTTGCACTCGCCTGCGGAATTTTAAACCACTGGGTGTTGGCAATAGAGTGAATCAGCAAACTAATGTCTCACACATTGATTACATGTATGTTGTAGCTTGTGTTTGTTTTCTTTAATCTTTTGGTAATGGTTTAAAAGAAAGTGGTCGTTGTTTTTTTATTACATATATTTTATTTGTTTTGATTTCAGGGGACAATTTGGCAATGGAGGAGCTTCAAACATGCAGGGAGTTCAAAGTGGTTTTGTTAACAGCTCTACAAGGGGAAGAAACAGAGCAAGTAATTTGAGTGTTGAGGGATCTTTTAATGCTTCTGGAGGCTGGGTAGATCCCAAAATTCTTTCTCCATTTAGCAATGGGGAATCTTCCAGAAGGAAAGCAGCAACGAGAACTAGCACCAAGAATAGTGTCTCAAAAGGTAAAAATAAAGCAAAGAAATCGGATACTGCAAACCTTTCATGTGCTCCTGCGGGATGGGTGGAACCCAAGAGCTGCACCAGTTTGCCAAAGGATGCAGGCAAAAGGCGTGTTCAAGCAAGTGGTCAATCTGCTGGTCATTGGTATACATCACCAGAAGGAAGAAAGGTATGAGAAAAAATCTTAAAAATTGCAAGTTTGATGTCATTACCTTGTTAAATTTATTTGCTTTTCTCAAGTTTAAATTTAGATGCTGGTCATAAGAAGTTACATGAACTATTTTGTTATATGGCTTAAAATTGAAACGCAAAGAAATTCATACAGTATGTTACTTAAGATTTATATAGATGCAATGAAATTCAAATGATCAAATTACATATTGCCTTTATTTTTTGGAGAAAATATTGTCCTATGATAACACTAGATTGTGGATACTTAATTTCCCATTGTTTTTGGCAACAAGATTAGTTATGTTATTGTAATTGGTATTTGATATTAGTCATGTTACAAACATGTTTCTTACTCTCAATTTTTTCTGCCTAGTGCCTTTATATTAATTTTGTAGCATGCTATATCATTGTATTCCATGTTGTTCTAGGCACAGGAATAACTGAATTGGAAACATCAGTGCTTTAAATCTCATGATAGCCATTAAAGATTTAAGGTTGTTATTGCAATGTGGAAACTTTCTTGTAGTTTTGAATCTCATTGATCCAACAAATTGCAATTTAAGGCCTCTTTGAGTATCTTATCACCTTTGTTTGGTTTTAAAATTAGTTTCTAAAATAATTCCACATTACTTGGTAATCAATTTTTTTCATCTAAAAGTTATAAAGTTTTGAGATTGTTTCCAGAAGAAGTATTTTAAAAGCCAAAAACATATTGAAGATGTGTTCTCATCTTTTCTTGTTCAAGATCTTCCTTGATTCAACATTTTACTTTGTACCTTGCACCACTTTTCATCGGTTGTCTTGGCAACCCTGTTTGTATTTTGAAAACTAAACATTTTTTGAAAATAAAGATCAAACACCTATATTCTCTGAATTTATGTCTTTCAGCCATGAACATAGAATAGTGATATTGCCAATGCTGTTGTTATTTACTCATGCTATACTTGTCTCGAATCTCCTGTTATTCTCTGAATTATATCTTCTGGTCTACTGAACATAGAATAGCAAAATACTGCAGGAATTTTTGCTCGTCTAATTTTTGGTGTTGAATCTTCTTTTAGTGGTTAGAGACTAAAACATATTTTTGTAGGTTTTGGTCACTAATTTTTCTCAATTTTGTTTTGATCCCTATATTTTAAAGGTTTGGTTGAGTCTACGTAGTATTAAAATCACTTGGAATTCATCTTTAGTGTTGGGACCAAAATCAAAAACTTGATGGAAGCCAGGGACATATCCACTTAGAACATTGTGGCTTGTGGGGCAGCATCTCCCACATGTTGCCCCCATAAATTTATAGATACTAGTTTAAGTATTGCCTTCACATCTTTAAATTTGTGGATTCATCACTGCGGCAGGGACCAATTCCTAGTGAATTTGAAATTATAGAAACTTGATCAAACTTTTAAACCATTCTCCAACAAACCTTTTTGTCATATTGTATCAATCGTTCAGAACCTGATCCTTTATCTTCGCACTTCAGGTTTATGTCAACAAAAGTGGGCAAGAGTTGACAGGCCGGGGTGCTTATAGACAATATCGGAAGGTACATCTACTTGCATACCATTCTGATGTTTTGTTGTCCTTTTTGTTTGGATGTAGCACTGAATGCCTTTGATGCTTACAGGAAAGTGGAGCAGGATTCAAGAAATCAAAAAAGAAAACAGGTGCCAAGAAGACAAATGCCAAGAAGAGAAACTGAACGCTTGATGGCAAGACATTTATTCCCCGCTTGGTCCACATGCCCTAATTTACTTGTGGATCTTAGGATTAGCCAATACCCCTATAGGTTCATTTCTGTTAAATTGCCCTAGATTTCCGGTATCATGTTTTGGATGTGGACAAGAAGCTAGCAATGCAAATGCAATCCCGCATGCAGCATCACATGAGGAAACTGAATTAAGGCCTTGTTGCTTAGTGAAGTTTAGATGCTAAAAAATCCTGGAAAGTAGATATTGTGTGACGTGAGCTTAAGCAAGTGGTTCTGTACAGTGCACACGGTGGGCCACCATGAAAATGATGCTTTAGATAATGATTCTTTACTTTTTTATTAGGATTTCACAATAATGCTTCGATTCAGTCTTGATTCTCCACTTGTTCTGTTAATTATGGTCGAGCTTGTTGCTTTGTTAATTATGCATCATTGTCTTCTGGGATTTGTAGATGTAAGATAACAATGGAACTATAGGAATGATGAAAACAAATTTTGAGTGCATGTAAGACATCAAGAGGACCCTTTTTTTTTTTCCTATATCTTGAGTTGAGGAAGCGGTGTTTCGCCTGATTTGTTTGGGCTTTTTGGTGGCTGTTTATTTTGTTTTTTGGCTTCATTTTTTGCTGTTTATTACAAAACATGTATACCAAGTACTGGAAATTGCAGATGTAAATATAAATTGGGACAAATGAAATATTTGTGTGGAAAGAGATGTTAAAACAAACTAGAATCCATGAGCTAACTTGGCTCATCACGGTTTCAAGTTGGGGGATGAGTTGAAAATTTTCAATCCACTGTTATTTTGGTGCAATTGCAATTTGGGTGAGTCAAATGAGTTCAGCTTGACCCTGTTTTTTATTTATTAGAATTAAAAAAATAAGAATACTTAATATTACAATATAAGAAAATGAAGGCACCAAAAAGTGATTATATAACTGTTTTTAGAGTTGTTAGACAGACAACATATGACTAATTTTAGTGCTAATAAAAATCATTAATTTTTTTCAATCTTTTATTTTTTGAAAGTTTGGTGACCTAACTCACCAAATCTACTAGTCTATGGTGTAAGGATGGTAAAAGAATCACACTTGCGGGTATTCATGTATAAAGTTTGTAATGGATAATTAATATATACTTAAATGGGTATTTATAAATAATTTAAATAAATATATCTATATTAGTTAATAAATGGAAATAAAGATGAATATCAAGATATCAATCTTGCGGATACATATTATAATAAAGTTATTAAATATTTCTTATATATAAAAAACGTGCTAATATGATATTACTTTAATTTCTTTTATCTATATTTGGGAGATTGAAATATTATAGTTTTTTAATTTTTATTTTAGATTTAAGGAATTGAATTATTTTAGTATATAGAATTTGTTAAACTTATATTAAATATTTTTATTTAATTTAGTTTTTAAATTGAAGAATTTTGATTAATAAAATTGTATATGATATTTGAATAATTTAAGTTAAACTATTATTTCTAAAAAAAATTATTAGAATATATAAAAATCATTACTAAAATATATTTTAAAAATTGTTTATATGATTTTAAAATTTTTTTTTAATAAACATTCATAATACTTATGAATACCTGTAAATATTGAAAAAAACTTATAAGTATCTACATGAATATAAAAACGAATATTTATCTAGTAATATAGGTAATGGATAGTTATTACCTATACTTCATTGACATCTCTACTCGAATAGATCAAACTAGATTGAAATTTTCATTACTCATCTAAAGGTGAGTACGGTTAGACTAATTCCCTCTTAAGCTCAACCCATGAGTCGGCTTATGTTACTTCAATACCTCTATATGCAACCTTAAATTAGAACATGAGATTAGCGTACATGAAACAGATTCAAAAATTAGGAATTTTTCCTCAAAAGTTAAAAGATTAAATTTTTAATAAAACCGGATAACATTGCATTTGTTAATAATAAATAACGTAAAAGCGTGCTGTTTAGTTAAAGACTTAAAGTCTCCAATCTTTATGATGGGAAACGTTAGCTTGATCAAACACTTGCCAACTGCCATTTCCTGATGCAAAATGCAAACCTAAGTGCCCCTAATAATACCACATGTACATCTTACAAAAAAATAAACCACTATTCATACATATTTACTCCATCGTACATAATCAATTCAAAGGGTTAGATAAAAATCATTGGACGCCTTTAGTAGAACGTGGGGTCACAAATAAAATAATAAAAGCAAATTCAACAGGTAATTTCCCTGTATTTATATTTATCTCTTTCTACTCCCCAGACGGGGAAAAAATGTTATATAAAAAAAGTGCACATTTGTCAGAAGCTATTGACTAATAAAAATTTAGGTCTTCAGTTCATGGTATCATCACATCATTGTCTTCATTGTTCATTAGAAGTATTCTGCTCGTCTTCTGGAATTGTTGAACGCTTGGATTTCAATATCTGTTGGCATGCTCTGAAATTCATCAAAATAGAACTTTCATTAGCTTTGAGATAAAACCAATGGATATAATAACAATCTGAGCTCAATTGGAGCAAATGAACGATGATTTACTCCAGCAGGTGTATAATTCAGACCCAACTCATAGTGCCCTGCAATTATGCACCTCTGAAAAGGAAAACAGAAAGGGAAATCATACAAGTTTAAATCCTGTGTCTTGCTCTTGATATCACTTGACAATAATACTGGATCAAAGTTCTTAGGGTAAAGATCTTGTTGCTGCGTCATCTCTCTTAGCCACTGCTCTGCTTTATTGCACTCATCGATTATCTGAATAAAGAAGGTTCAGTTAAAAACTGATACTAAGGGCCACATTTATATTTTTATTCTCCTATTTATTATTGTACCAGTTCTTTTTCTTGGGGTGGGAGAGAATCTGCAGACATTCGATACTCTACAATGCAACTTAACAAATCCCTTGTAGCTTGTGGTCTGTCTGCTGTGTCTTTATACCGAAACTCAATTGGATCCACCAGCTACAGAAGATGGAGAATGTAAACAATAAGTATGATGTGGGAAACTTGGAGATTACAGAAACAAAAGTAACCTGTTTTAGATCTTCCAGTTTTGCAGAATAAGCATGCACAGTTTCATCATCACCATCATCATAAAGCCATTCCTCGGTCTCTTTCAGGGTCCTAGATATCTCATCCCTCTCATTTTTACTTGAAAACCTCTCGTATGTGCTGAAGAGCTATCCGCACATGCAAATAAATTTAATTGCGAGTCCATCATGAAAAATAGAGCATACACGTGAAGACTGCCTTTTTATAAAATCAATGGTAAGAAAAGACATAAAGAAAAAGATTTTAATTTCATATTCTATACAGATTTGATTACAAGTATAGCAGCAGAGCTTCCACAGTTTCACAAAGTTTTGGCTTGCATTACTCATGAGTCGTGACAGAAATCATTATTCAGTGACAATGCAACAGATTTTTCTCATTTGATATATTTACATGGAAAAAGTAAAAGCTCTAGTTTTTTACGGAGCACCTTATAGTAATGATATGAAATAAAGAAGAAACAATACCATCCATTGGACAATTATCAATTGAACGTGTATACCTTATTCCTCGTTTCATAAATATAAGACTCCAATGAATTCCTTGTGTCTTTGGTTAGCTCCATTGTTGTGTCCTGATGGGCCAACTGGAGTTCTTTTTCTTGGGCTTCCAAGATCTCAGGCTTGGTCATTCCACCATAGATGTTCTCAGTCACTGGTACATGAAGCCTTCCGTTAGCTTTATCTTTTCTTGTACCATCAGCCTGTAACAAGGCATGATAGTAACACTTTTATTTACTCAAAACACCAACATGAATCATATCTGCAATCAAAACAATCTCCACAACATAAAAATGCACAGATACATAACAGAGATTATAAAAAAAATCATGATAGACTTGATGCGGAATTTAGTATTGAAATTCAAGAGTAATCACATAATAAAATTTAGCCATATATTTTTGGCTTAAATAAACTTGTCTCTAAAAATATCGCCATTTATGGTTTTAATCCTTATAAAAAAAAAATCAATTTTAGTCCCCGATGTTTTGAAAACTGAGTTTGTAGTCCCTCAATAGTCCCTCTTCAAGGACCCAAAAGATAAGTTTTAGTGAAGTTTAGGGACTAAAGATGAATAAAATTTTAATAAGGACTAAAGCCAGAAATGGTGATGTTTTTAGGGACTAAGAACATATTTTAGCCTATATTTTCATGTTTACAAGACAATTTGCTAGAAATCTCTAATTAATATATGAGATCCTCCGGTAAAAAAGGTGTGTAGGGGGGGTGGGGGGAGAGAGAGATAGAATAACAAGAGTACTTACAGAATGATTTGGAGATTCACACTTATTATTGATATTATCTTCAGTGACATTTTCAATTGTCTCAGAAACAGGTTCAACATTCATTGCTTCAGAGTTTGAATGATAAACACCTGTTGTAACTGAATCATCCACATGATCGTCAACTAACTGAAAAACACAAAAAAGTCGATGTGCATAGCAACATCTCTCAGAAAACTAATAACACAACACGAACAGATAAAAGTGAGGCTTCTTACTTACAGTAGATGATTCAATACTGATAATGCCATGCAAATTTAGTTGAACTTTAATTCTTGCCTTACTTTCTTGGGATCCATGGAAAGGACCAATCTGAAAAGAAGTGACAATCAAATGCATAAGCATACATAACAAGGCGTAGACATGAGTATACATAACACTCATTCCATAGACTCTATTTTACTTCTACTTAAACAAAATAAAATAAAAATTGGTGGAGCAGTGGTTGAAAGCATGGTCCACTGTCCAGTCTCAAAACCATTGACTCAAGATTCATTCAAAGTAAATTTTCTCACTTGAAGACTATATCTAAACCAAACTAGACAGAAGGTGGAGTTTGGACAGTTGCTCAATCTATACGTAACTGAATCCTAGATTTGCAACTCAAAAGTGAAAGATGCTGATTGTGATCATGATTACTATATATATACATACTAATTTTTCTCTGTAGAATTAAAAAGACGAAACAGTAAAATTAAGAAGACAAGTAAGCTCATAGATACTATACCACATGCTTTTCAAGAAACATACAAAAGAAGAAGCAATAACAGAGAGGATAATAAGGAAAACGGGGGGAGTTAAACATAGAATTCTGCACAAGATTATCTGAACTCTTCACATCATAATAAAGTTCTAAAGCAAGCATACTGTGAAGCAACTGATTTTAGGAGATGTCCCTGGTGGTAATTCATCTGGATTAGCATAGAATGCTTCCAGGCGCAGCAAATTACTGCACTGAAGTGTTAGAATTTTAACACTTGGAATGGGTTGGCCTTTTGGGAAGAGTACACCATCTGATCCTGCAAAAATTGGACCTCCATCAGATGAAAGTCCAATGGAAAAAGGAATAGAATCCTGGACCTGAACAAAAACAAGAAATTAAATTAATTTTATAGAGTAATACAAACAAATGCAAAATTCTAAAAAGAAACACACGACATCTGTGAGAATTTAAAGTTAGATAAATTTCAATTTAGCTAGATAAAAGACATTTCGACAACCTAAAGATAACAACTTGGTTCGTTTAGTAATTATTACATTTCTAACCTAAGAATCTACGAATGCAAAAATATACTCTACTACATATACATAGGATAAGAATCAATGTTTTATTTCAATTTTCAAACCTCATATTCCTTGACAAGGAAAACAGGACTGAGCATGGCACACTGGAGAGCACAACCACGAGCTACACACTCACTTGCATTCAGTGTGCGTCTAAGTTCTCTCTTAAATAGAGAAGTTAATAACCTAGTTATAGCTGGAATCCGTGATCCTGAACCAACTAACTCAACAGAATTAATCTTTTCTATTGTCAAGCCTGCATCAGACACCGCTTTGTTGCAAGGAATACAAATTCTCTCCAATAACCCTGATGCCAGATTCTCAAATTCTTCCCTCTTCATAAAGCCCTTCACATCTTTTTCATCCATCAAACACTCAATGTTCAGAGCAGCCTCTGCATTTGCGCTTAAAACCTTCTTCAACTTCTCACATGCTACACGCAGCCTCCTCTGTGCCCTGGCATTAGAATGCACGTCAATGCTGTACTGTTCCTTAAATTGTGCAGCAAAATGACTAAACAGAACCTCATCGAAGTCTCTCCCCCCTAAGCTCCTGTCAAAAGCATGCGAAAGTATCTTCATTTGACCAGCCTGAAACGCTGCAACAGAGACCTGAGTATCACAATGACCTATGTCAACAAATGCAACATAAATAGGAGCTGCACTGGGAAAATCTGTTTTGTAAACTCCATAACTAAGAGCAGTTGCAGTGCAATCATGGATCAACCCCAAAGGCTTCAACCCAGCAATTGTCGCTGCGTCAAGATAAGCTTGTCTTTGCAAGTTGGTAAAGTACGATGGAACCCCAATAACGCAGTCAGAAACAGAGGTCCTCATATCTTTTTTGGCTATAGTCTTCAAGTGAGCAAAGAGCATTGCCACTATTTGGACCGGGGTAAATGCATGAGTCTCGTTCAAGTATTTCAAGTGAATCAAAATGCCACCATCTGGGCCTTCTGAAGTATCAACAGAGAGCATTCTTAAGTCATTCTGAACATCAGGGTCCGAAAAGCTCCGGCCTATTAGTCTCTTCACTTGAGATATGGTGGACTTGGGTTGCATCATGGCAGAAGCAGCACCAGCTGACCCTAAAAACCTTTGCTTTTCTCCAAAGCAAACCACAGCAGGGTTTTCACGTTTGGATTCATCATTCAACAAAACATCAACCCCACGTTGTTTCGCTGCAGCAATCACACAGTTCTCATTCCCAATATCAATTCCCACTCCACTCATTTCAATTCACTGGGTTGTGTCCTTGCCCCCAAACTACAAACAACTAATTTAATCCAATTCACCCCTTGTACTTCACCAACAACCTAAAAGTCAAAAACTTCACCAGATTCTACAAACAAAGCTGGCAGACAAACATAAACTTCAGAGTTAACACAGGGCTATTACTACAGAAGAAAAAAAGTTGGAAACAAACACGTCAAAATGAAAACTTTCGTGCGGTATCATGTAATTGTGTCAACACGAATGATATAATGTAACAAAAATATGTTTTGGATAAAAAGAAAAGTCTTGAAACTGAAGAAATGCTATCAATGTAACAAGAAAACCCGATAGAAAGAAGAAAAATAAAATTGAGATAAGGCACAATGAATAGTGAGAGAAGAATGAAAGAGACCTGATTTGGTGAAGAGGGTTTGGAGGGAAAGATGAATGGTGGAATGTTGGCGACTGCATAACTACTTTGTGATGGCAGAGAGACAAAATCGCCACTTCACTCGCTCAATCCATAATACGAATCAAACATGGGTTATCATCAATGAACAAATTTGACAATAATCAATTTATATGGGGTTAATTATGTAAAATTATTTATATTATTGTTGATATGTTCTTTTATCCATATGAATAGTAGCAAAATTTGAACTTAATATAATCAAGATACTACTCAAACTCATTTTACCGTTATATGACTTTAGTGGTATTATTGTTAATGTTTTCAAAAACTATCAAATTTTTAATTTTTATTTTTTGAAGTAACACAATTTCAATGTTAATGACGATATTTCACTTATCATCTTTATATAAAAAAAAATCACTTATTATTTATGAAATCTTTCATTTTTTATGGACACGAATTACTATAAAGATAAAAGAGAAGGAAGGAGAAAAAAGAAACAAGAAAATAGTATAATTCAGGAATTAGTATAGAACACCAACTAACATAACATCTTAATAAGTTAATTTGTTGAAATTAGGATTTGTCTCACTTATGCAATACGGGAGGGTGTTTTTATAACAAAAACTCACAGTAACCTCTATCCTAACAATTACTTATTTTTAATATCACTTGAATGTTAAGATACATAATGCCCACTTATGCCAAAACGCCTTATGCAATGTGTGCGTTTCTTTGCATGACTTGAGACCAATATTCATGTTATATAATATAACATTTTGTTGTGATTTATTTTTTATTTAGTTTTATCAATTAAATGAGTATATGTTAAGATGTTGTTTTTAATGTTTTTAAAACTTTAAAAGTTTAGAAATTCTTATGAATTTAGTTTTTTAAAGTTATTTTGTGTTGAGATCAAAGTTTAGTATATATGTTTTTTTAATATTTGAATTTCATATATTCATATCTTAAAAAAATTTAGAGAGATAAATTCTAAAGCCAAAGGAGATCTTTAATCCTTCTAATTTCATAAGAGTGCTTTGATCCTCCTGAAAGCTTAATTAAGTTATTAAATTGAGATTCAAAGCTTGGGAGTTAAGAATTCAAAGTTTGAGTTGTCACATGACAAAAGCTCGAAGGGTCTTATTCTTTGTCATTCTTACTCCTCTTCCTCTTTTCCTAAAGATTTGAGGTAGATGAAGCTTGTAAATTAATCTTTACTATGTTGCATGTGTTGATCATTGTCATTTGTGGCTTTGATTGTTGAAATTGAGAATTTTAATCTTGGATGTTCTTGTTGAGGTTTTCTTGTTTAAAAAGTAGAATTTACGAGTTTAGATCTTCTTACTGATGCATGTTGTTCCTTTTGATGAATTTGGGTTGTTCATGTTGGTTATGTGTTGAATTAAGAGTTGCATGTTGGAATGAAGATGGATTCTGGTGATTTGTGAGTAGAGGGAGATTTGGGAGAACCTAAATCGAGATTCCTCCTAGTGTAGAAATCACTATTGCACTGGACATAACATCATGGCATCAGGCATGGGTGAGTCAGAGGCTCTCTACCTCACTTTCATTAAGCATCGAATGATTGACGTTAAACATAAGTGAGTTAGAGGCTCTTGCATTATTTTAGTCAAGCATGAGTGAGTCAGACTCTCTACCTCATTTTTATCGGACATGAGATAAGTAGGGTCAAGAGTGAGTGAACTAGAGGCTCTATACTTCAAGTGTGGGATAAGTGGCGTTAGGTGTGGGAGAGCCAAAGACTTTCTGTCTCATTTACGTTGAGCATGAAACTAGTAGTCGGACATAAGTTCTTTAGAATTTGTTCACCTTATTTGTTGTTGGGCACAAGCTTGGTCGTGCTGAGTGTGAGTGTGCTGAATGAATATGATGGTTATGAGCCCTTATATATGAATGACTAAGTTGTTTTAACGTTGAAAACATGTTGTGTTGGGTTGCATGTATATGCATGAAGAATGTTGTGTTTGTTGAATTGTAGGGGATATGCATGAGGCATATTGTTGAACTATGTTGTGAACATAGGACTAAAGAAGAATTGTTGTCTTAAAAGTTGAAATATCTCATTAAGTGGATATGTTTTGTGGTATTGCGAGAGCTCGATTATTGGAAAATCCTTCTTAAAATCATTATCTTTTGAAGTGAAGTGTTGAGTCTTCTCTAAGATTTTAGTTGATATCGTATGGAGGTTAAGTCGAGCCATACTGGTTTAAAAGTAACCAATTTGAGTAAGGTATAAAGCTAAAGAGTAAATTCCTTAACTGATTAGTGGAAATGTATGCATATATGAAAGTTAGTCAACGAATTAATTTCATATAGGCTTAGTTGATGCGTACTAATGTCATGGTAGATTCATACCCAAATTATTTTATTACTGACAAAGTTACTAGAATTTCCTAGTTTAAGTGACGAAATTCAAGAAAATGTGTTGTTTTATGGATTGATATCCAGATTTGTTGTTGATCTACCAAACCAAAAAGATCGTGATGTTAAGTTAGCTCAGTAGGGTTAAGTCACTTAAATTGTTCACCTATGTTGTAAAAAATCTTGTAGTTGAAATACATGACGACGCATAAAGTTACTATGTTATCAAGTTGTTGTGTTGTTCATATGCTAAGTTAACAAGAGGATGAGGTGTATATTTATGTTATAAGTTGAAAATTGTTTTATGTTGGTTTGTGTTGCTAAACTAGGCCTTAGGTTGTTGTGTTGTGATGATGATGAAGTTGTTTTTATAGTTAGCTAATCGCTTATATACCTTGTTGTTTTCTTATTTATGAACCCACACTTACTTTTCCTTATTGATAGACTGTGATGATCATACTATTATGAGAACAAAGCATGATTAGATTAAAGAGTTTGCTTGAGGAGTGACCATGTTGAAGATGGCTATTTTATTTTTGTTGTGTTGTTCTGATGCAATGTGTAGATAGATATGATGCAACCTAAGACATTTTATGTTATGCAATTTTTTTGTGTGTGTATGTTTATAGGATTTGGTTTTGATTTCATCGAAAGATTTTATGTTTTAAATTCTTTACTCCTTATATATATTGTTGCATAAATATCTAATAATTATTTGCATAATAATTATATTATATTATATTTATGTTTTTTTTGCTACTTAATTATTAAGTTATAAAGTGTAGTGATCTATCAGATCATTACATATAATACTTAATTTTTTTTTGTTACCATAATGAAAAGTATTTTTCAAATAAATTATGTCTCATGGTATTTTTTCTTGTCCTTGTAATATTTGTCTCGTTTGAGGGTCTGTTTGTTAAAAAATATAAAAGAATTAATTTTTTAAAAACTATCCACTTTTATTAAAAATTATAAGTTTCCAATTTGTTTGTTTTAACTTTTCAAAATTATTTTGAAAGTAAGAGAAGCTCAAAAGAATATAAAATCTAATTAAAATTGGATGCTGTGCAGAAGCCGAAAAGAATATAATTATCCACTTTTATTATAAAATTACTTTTTATATATAATAATAGAGGAGAGATCTATTTATTTTATGAGTAAGTTTACCTATAGTTACTCCGTTCAATAACTCATATTTTATATCAAATTTCAATGATCCAACCGTTGAATTTAATATTCTTAATGCATAGCTTAAATCTGCAAATTTTTAAAAAATTTGAAAATTATTTGATACTTTTTCATTAATTCAAATCAATGTATAAAATAATTTTGTGATTATTCGTCAATTTAAATTAATAAAATGAAGTATCAAATAATTTTCAAATTTTCTAAACATTTACAAATTTGATCTATGCATTAAGAACTTGAAATTCAACTGTTGAATCGTTGAAATTTGATGTAAAACATGAATTATTGAATGGAATAAGTCTATCTAGACTTATTTTTAGAGTAAACGAATTCATCCTCATAATAATAACCTCATATTATTTCATATGAAAAAAATGTTCAACAATATAAGGTTTCACATGATAAATAGAGGAGACAAGGAAATTTTTTAGAAGCTCTTACTAAGTTATGAGCTATTAAATTTGTTTATTAACAATGTGACAATAATCTAAAAATTTATTTGGATAATTTTTTTAAAAAGTGTTTGTGAGAGAAATTTTTTTAATAAATAAATAAATAATTTTTTTTATATAAACTAAAATTAACTTATATATACATAAGTTAAAAATAGTTTTTATAAAAGTTTTCTTATATAAATTTTTTCAAATACTTATTTTAAATTTATACATAAGTAGTTTTATGTTATGAAAAAAATAATTTTATTTTTTTCTAAAAATGTTTATGAAAAAAATTATTTAATAAAACCATGAGAAGTTTCTTAATGAGAGAAATTCCAAAAGAAAATTAAAGATGACTTATAAATTTCATCCACAACCTAATTACAATCTAGCTCGGAAAAAGTATTGCGATCCAATTGATAGATGTAAGCAGGCTTATGGACGGTACAACTTATAAAACACAAACTAACTCCGTTTTGTGGTTTTGACACAAATTTTGGCTAACATCCACGTAACTCACGTAAACCTAAAAGCACATTTTTTAGTCCTTGTTTGCTTCTATGGAAAGACTATTCATGTATATGGAAAGTGATGTATGAAACGTGTTTGTTTCGAGTGAAATACGAAGAAAGAAAAGCGAGGAAAAACGAGAGAGCTGTACGGAGGGTTCTTCGATAAACCATGAAGAAAAGCAGAGAAAGCCACGTTGGCAAGGATAAAAAGACGTGGTTACCCTTCTGAAAATGCAGTTGTCCATCATGTGCATAATCGATTATGCATGATTATGGGCCAGCATAATCGATTATGCATGGCACATAATCGATACCGTTCCAAACTACTAAAATAAGAGTATTTTAGTAGCTTAGAACGGGCCGTTCCCAAATTGGAACAGGTCGTTCCCAAACTGGAATGGGCCGTTCCAAACTACTAAATTGGCTTAAAAGTCCTAGTTGAGAATGCCGTTCCAAATTGGCTGTTATGGGTAAAAATGCAAATTAGAAAATATAATTATTATAATATATTTTGTTATTATTATTTATTATTATAAATATTATTATTATTATCATTATTATTAATATTTAAATAAAAATTCTTATATTATATATATATAATATTTAAATCATAGAAAAAATATTTTTTTCAATATTTTAAATATAGTCAAAATATCAATTAAATTATTAAAATAATAATATTATTTATTTGTATTATAAAACTGCTAATAATAAAATTAAAAAAGAATATTAAATTAATTTTATCATTAAATTTAAAGTAAATATTTAAATTAAATTATTTTTAAATTAAGATTTTATATTTATTTTTTTAGTTAAAATTTTTATATTTATCTTTTAATTATAATAATTATAAACTTTTTTTTAACCTAAGGGCAAAATAGTAATCTTACAAAATCATCAATTAAAAAATTTATTTTTATCTATCACATCAATCAATTTACTCACAAACTTTTACAAATTTTCTCTACACTTTTCACTCACTTTCCCTTAATCTAAACAATCTCACTTTTCACTCACTTTCTTTTCAAATCCCTCTTTTTCTGCTCCTCATTTTCCATCCTCAAATCCAAACAAAGGCTTAGTGTGAAAGGTTTGTGTACGCTCATTTTGCACGCACTATTCAATTAAACTAAAGACAAAATAGCTACAAAGTTGCTTCCAATTTGAAATGGGTCTATATCATTAATTCAGCGTAGATTTAAACCCCAAACATACATTTCATCTTATTCCATTAATCCAAAAATAATTTTTAAAAAAACTCCTAATATTTGTCCCTAAACTGAAATTAGTAATTAATGATGCTCCTAATTTTTTAATTTAAAATATTGTAATATTAATGCACTATGATTTAATAAATTTTTTTTGCTCAACACGATTTGATAGTAAGAACAATGTGAATAACCCTCTTCCATGTAAAATCATTTTTAACCCTTAAATATATTACTAAAATAAATAGATATTGAAATTAGTTAAATCATTCTTCGGTATAAAGAATAATTCAATTAATCTCAGCATCAGTTTATTTTAATAATATATCTAAAAGTTAAAATAACCTTGAATGAGTAAGAGACTTTTTTTAATCTTTCACCTTAGAATTAACCGAAAATGTACTACAAAATTCATAGTTACTTTTTTTTTTCACCTTAGAGTTAAAAGTTTTTTTTTATTTCCTTTTCTTTTTTAATTTAGAGGAAGTGTATACCACCAAATGGTCAACAAACTCGAAACAAAAAGTGAAAGGAGTTTTAAAATTTCCGCAAACCTTTTTTCAAGCACGTGAAAAGCATAGTTTTAAACCAATTTAAGATGGTAAGTTGATAGAAACGATTAGAGTGGGTGATGGTGAATGGTCCAATTCACAATTCTAGCAATTTATAGCAAGGTATATATGACATGCAAAATTTCACAAATATAGTAAATTGCTCAATCTAAAAGAATATATCTGAATTTATCCTGGTTCTGTCACATGGAGTGTATTTTCTTTTGGTAACTTTAGTATTAGGTTCATTTTTGATGAATTTAACATTATGTTTAAAACGAGCAAACCGGGACCAAGGAATGATTGGTCAGTATTTGATTATGAATGTGTGATGATGGACACATGCATTTTCCCATCACTTTCTGGCCCACCTGAATTGACAGCTTCCAATGTGTTAATTGCATTCCTCAACAAATTTCGAACAGTACACAAGTATGTATCACCAATGACCGAAAAGTATTTTATTAAGTGAAATTTAAGGCAGTTAACTTACAATATCAAGGAAGAATATGAGAGGATGAAAATATAGATTAAAAATAATTGCTAGCTAAGCTTGTTACAAGGAATTTAGCTATATAATTTGTTAAAACCAATTTATGCATATTGCAGCAGTTAACAATACTTCCTCTAAGAAGAACCTCACACAAGCTATAGGAAGATGTGCCTCATCTAAGAATTGGATCTCTTCTGACCCTGGATTTTTTTCATGGCAGAGGCCTCTGGGTCTCTGGAAGGTGTTCAGCATATAGTTTGTGCATCATTTCAACATAGTCATCAATGTTGTCAGGCTTCCAATTTTCAGTACTTATAGGAGGAAGATACTTGACAGTGAGAGGTGCTGGTCTAACATGCAAACTTCCTTTCCTCCATGCTAAATGAGTACCTGTCAGGACCATTGGAACTATTGGAAGGCGAGATTGTAGTGCTAAATGAACAAAACCCTGCATAATAAGTGAAAGAATAATGAGATATGATATGAAGCATAACCAAAATAACTGCAGCAAATGAACAAGACTAAATACATGCATTCTCTAGATCCATCAATTTGTGGAGAACAAATTCATGCATTCTCTAGATTATGCACATCTTTCGAATATATTTTTTGTTTTTGCCAGAAATTAATCTTATTCATAATATTATAACTGTTCCTGTTTCGAAGAATTTTCGAATACAGGGTGTCATCTTTAGAATATATGGATGTTCATAAAAAGGTCTCTTCCTCTGACTAAATACATCAATGGGGCAGATGATGATGATATTCATAATCTGCGTCCAACTCAGATAATAACTAGTGAACTATATTACTCGTAGGTTATATATGCAAAGTAAAGGTAAGAAGGGCAAATCCAAATGGTTAACTAGATGGATATAATAAGTTTATAGTCCTAATTCTTATGCAATGTCACTCAAATCATAGAATGCAAAGAAAATGAAGCTAGATAATTACTTTTTTGAAAGGAAGTAGTCGTCCATTCTTAGACCTTGTACCCTCAGGAAAAATGATCAGGGACAGATTGTTTTTCACAACTGCACGTGCTGCCTGAACATTACAACTATAAATTAAAACCTTATACAAAAAAGTTATTTGAAGATGATGCAAGGAAAAGGTTCTATACCTCTTTCATGGACTCAATAGCTGCAGTTGGGTTGGATCGGTCTATACGAAGATGGTTGGCCAAAACATAAAGTTGCCCAAATAAAGGATACCATATTATCTGCATAGTTTCTGAAGCTTTGAATACAATTTTTTTACTAGAAATATTTATGTACCTAATTATGGTTTTCAATGTTTCATAGTGTATTAATGCACACCAATGCGTATATGATAATGACAAGCTGAATATCTCGAGGATGCAAGTACAGTCTTCATGGATGGGAGATGCACAAAAAAATTCATTTTCAAAGCTTTGCCAAGAACAAATACAATCCCAATTCAGCACTACCACAGAACAATGATACCAAAGAGACAAGAGTCCAACTACTAAGGTAACAAAATTTCCACAGTGCAATGTAAGATGCTACTTATCTTGACCATTTTATAATGATGCATTCAAGTGGAGAAGAGAAACATTTTTAATTTTGTAGCATACCTCCTTCTTGGCAATGCCTACAGTGCCTGTAGGAGTCAACCACATTATAAGAAATATGTCTATTGGAGATGCATGATTACTAATGTAAATGGCCCTCTCGTTATTGTACTCAGCACCTTCAATCTTTACAGGATTACCAAGAATCCACATCTACATCCAAATTTTGAGATATCAGTCATCATTTGCCCAAAAGTTTCAACACATGTAATTATGCTACTAAAAAAAAAAAAATAAATTACTGAACAAGAAACGGCCTTTTCATCCCAAATACAATAAAACTAACAATCCTTAAATAAAAAAAAATCTAAAATCTATTCAGTTCAAAAATGTGCAGCAGAACTATACACTAAAGGTAGCTTACCAGCATTCTACCTGTCACATGGCCATAAATATTTCCTTGTCTAACCCTCTCATATGGCCATGGTATAAGCACGATCATGATCAATGCCCATACGAATGTTGTTACCATCATAGACACAAAACATGTAACAATTCTGACCCAAGATACGATTGCTGAAACCCACCCATCATCATCATCTGCATAGACATCATTCCTTGGCCTTTCTCCCGATTCATCTTTCACCAAAATTCTAGGAGTTTCTTCCACACTTTGGCCAGAGCTCGTATTCAAGAAGCTCTCGAACCTTCTATTCCTCAAAAGGGCACCGCCTCCACTATTCTCCATGACAGAATCTGTGAAGACAGCAAAGCAAAAGCAGAACAACTCAGATATTCTGTTTGTTTGCCAAGGAATCCAATGAACAAAGACCACTAACAAAACCATCTATGTTGTATAGAACATAACCAAATAACTTCCGAAGAAAACCTTGGTCCAATTCACAATGGTCGATGGCCAAACAGAGCCAACTAAAAAGAGTGAAAATTTGTACAAAAAAATAAAACAGTGAAATACAATAAAACTCGATGGCTAAAACCCAAAACTTGAAATTTTCCTTCAGTTAACAAAAACCGTCAAAAGCTCCAAACTTTCACGTGAACACTCGAAATGGGCAAGTGGGAACTTCTTCTTTTTTTCTTTTATATTTTATATTAGTCAATTATGCGTTTTTTCAGGAGCTAAACAAAGTCACACAAGAAGTGCTTGAGGAAGACCCACCAAATGAGCCCTTCTTGGTTCTTACCAAGTACGTGACTTTGGCTCCGAGAAAGCTCAGGAAAATGAGTGAAAGCAGAAGAAGTCAATTATATGAGGAGGGTTGTTGGGAATTGAAGCAAACCCACAAACGAAGGCAGAGTAACGACAAGAACATAGAGAGAAAAAATGAATGGTGCATAGAAGTTAGAAGAGGAAGAGAGAGGCTGTGTTTCAGAAGAATGAGAAGTGAGATAAGATGACATGATTGAAATGAATATCAAACTACTAATAAGCAGGCCACAACTCTTGAGATGAGACGTAACATTTGGCTTCTCACTACTGCCATCTTTTAATTAATTAATACTCCTACATTCCAAACAATGTACCCAATTAGTAAATATTTTTATATTGCAATTCAATTATACATTACTAGTATTATATTTGGTACAATATATGAACTTTAAAGTTTAAACCAAAAGAAGAAAAAAAAACTTAGATCCAACCTTTACCCGACGGTTTTTTAAATGTGTAATTTTCTTAACTATAATGACTTACGTAAGGAACAACATTACTTTTTAGTATAAATATATTATGTTTCTTTTTTATTTTAATTAAAATTTATTATTTATTAAATATTTTTTATTTTTAACATTAATATTTTTCTACAAATATAGGTATTATCACTCATGCATAAGGATGGATACACTTGTAGTGCAGTAGGATCACCTGTCCCCACTATCACTTACATATATATATAATATTAAAAACACGTTATATAATAAATAAATGAAATCTAATTTTTATAAAATTTAACATATTTATTTTTATATTTTTATTAATATTAAATTATTATAAAGTAGGCTTTAAAGTTGTAGTTCTAAGTAAACATTTAAAAAATATTTATGACAGATAAATAAGTCATACTTATAATATATATTTTTAAAAAGAATTAAATTCAAACTTATTAAATTATAATATAATATAGTTTAATCTAATTTATTTTCATATTTAATTATAATTATAAACATAAAAATTTTAAAAAAAAATAATTGTG